GAGTGTTGGTGTTTGCATGTGTGGATCGAGGTGCATAGTTTCGTCCGAGGGGGCTTGGATAAGACGGGGTCTCGGGGCGTTGTTCTCTGAATCTGAAGATGCGTTGTCTGCTCCGCCTGGTAGTCCTCCGGTCGCTAGTGAAGGCGCGCCGAGTGTGCGCTGCTCTTCTCCTCTGTCATCATCATCATCTTCGCCATCGTCTTCCTCATCATCGCTATCGGGATCTCCTACGCCTGAGAAATCCGCCCACACCCAGCCTCTCGGGCTCTCTAGTCTCATCTCGCCCCACTCTTGCAGGTCGTTCATTCCACTGCCGGCCAGGAAGATGATGCGGGTGGGCGTGTAGCTCTCATCTTGCTCGAAGTCGAGGTATAGACGTAGACCGACGATGCGGACCAGCTTGAAGAAGTGGATGTTTAGGTAGTGTGGCTGGGGGCCGTCGGATTGCCAGAAGAGGGATGTTGATGGGTGTCGGAGTTGGGGGATGGAGCAGCCGGGTTTGGAGCTTGAGACGGTCCAGCTGGCTAGCGTGCTGATTTCGCGGAGATAGGATGGGGGAGGATCCAGGTTTGGTAGGGGTGTGTTGGATTGGTGTGGGGATGCTAGTGTTTTGTTAGTTGTGTTGTACTACAGGATATTACTACCTAGGCATGTCGAACTAGTGTGAGAAACGGAATCTTCTGGAAATGAATCTGAAATTGAATCTGAAAGAAATGAACCTGAAAGGCCTTGAGTGCAAATTAATAGGCGGGCCGAAATGAAGGAAGAGCTGTGAGCAAGAGACCGAATTAGACTTACCTAGTGCATCCTCCTCGTCTTCCAGCTCATCCTCACCCTCAAGTGCTACCATCTCTTCGCCCATAGTCTCCCCCTCTTCATCTTCAGGCTCCATACCCCGCCGTCCAGTAATCCTACTGATCTCAATATCACTATCAGTGTCATCAGAGTCATCACGCGGGGGCAAATGATGCTGCTGTTGTGCTCTTCTCCTCAAGGATGGCGGCATCTTTGCGTTATCGTAGATAAATTGTAATCAATGTCACGAGCTCGGGAGAGCCAGCAGAGCGGCGTTCCGGGCGTCGAATGTATGGGGGGGGGGCTAAGGTTAAGCAGATGCAGGGATTGCGGGAGATATGCGTCTGGGGATCGCGAGGTCAAGGGTCCAGGGTGAAAGTAGGTGTAGGTTAAGCGAGCTGGGTGCTGGCAAGTGCAAACTGTGTGGGTCGCGAACTGCCTGGCGCGCGGGAAACACGTATTGAGGAACGTGTCTGAGGGTCGAGCTTCAGTGTAGCAGAATCGTGGCGCGGTGAGTACGATAGAATCTTGATGCGCCGTGTTGGTCGGAGCGTAGGTGGGCGGTGATAGGCTGGTGGTGGTCGATGAGAATCCAGGTAAACAAGTCGAGGTTGCCCAAAGTCCGGTATCAGGTGCGCACTACAGCATTGGAAATCCAATACATGTACAAGAACCAACTCTTACAGTTCCATTTGTTTCCTTGCCTCTGGTGGTATCGCTTTCGTTAGGTGTGCGTCGGAAAGCCAGGGTATGTCTTTGGTAGTGTTGAGGTGGAGAGGTTACAAGCGCCAGGAAATTGTTTTGCTTCCATTTTCGTCCACCACGCGCCTTCCCTGCAACGTTCTTCCACCACATTCGCCATTCACCGTCCCACTGCTGCACGCATCCGTCTGCACGCATAATAAGCGCGCCAATTGCCATCAATGATTCTCCATAGTGTGCTGTACGTCACCAAGATATCTCCGTGCCACCGACGACAAGGAGCAACGGCGTCGAAGAATAATTGGACGAAGCACGAAAGATGCAATATGCATGAAGAATATCAAGCTGCAGAGCACGCGATAGCGATGACTTCGTTCGATTTGATAGATCAGGATATCAATTATTGACTTTCCACTCGAACTACAACTATGAACAGATCGCCATGTCTAATTTGTCACCGCTAGGAGTAGCATATCACAGATACCTCGGACCCATTCCTCGGCCATCCCCAGATAGGGAGCGGCCCAACTACCCTTTCCCTCGATACGTGTAACCTGAGAGTTTCGTCAACCATGTTTGTCCTACACTGTGCACCAACGCTTTCAACGTGGCGTCGAGATCGATGTTGTGCAACCTTGAAGTACAAATCATAGTCTTCTCGAGCCTGCACCTGATATGTAGTCTCTACGCCACCTGAAAGCCCAGCCCGCCGTCGCGTTCCCTTCCTCGTCGCTAGCTGGCTCTTTGCGTGAACGACTGTTCGTTTGCTGGACGTTCGAACCTCTTTCTTTCACTTCCATTGTGGCTGCGATTAGGTGTAGAGTGCTATGAAGCACATGAGTGCATCAGTCTTTCCAGGGATTATTAAGTGGACATTGATTCGACCTGGTGACTGCAATGGCGCATGGTTCAGGTGACTTGGCTTGGTCAGGCAAGCAGCAAGAGAGGGTAACGACTGCGTTTCTGGCGTTAGCTTGGCTCTTCATCTTACTTCGAACGTGGACGAGGACGTATATCATTTCGAGCTTTGGCTGGGATGACTCGACAATGATACTCGCGGGTGTAAGCTGGTCTTTCTGTCTCACAAAACATTAAAACTAATGGTCATGATAGATGATCTTTACAGTATATTGTTCTGGACAATTTTATATTGGAGCGAATGGTGGTGGAACACATGTCAGCAGTGTGGCTCAACTGCAAGCACTCACCAAAGTAAGCTCTCTTCCATCTCGTCGAGATGTTCCCTGACAAGGATAGTGGGTCGTCGTATCTGAAGCAGCATACATAATGGCGATGATGGTACTCAAGATATCCCTTGGAATCTTCTTCGCACGCATCATCGTCGCTCGCTGGCAATTCCTCCTCATCTACATCACAGTGGGAGTTAACATCTTTTCATCTGCGGCAGCATTCTTTTACAGCTTGTTTAGATGCGGGCCAAACTTAGATGACTATGTAATGCAACAGCTGCAAGACAAGTGCACGTCCAGAGATTTGGACCGCTTCATGGCATACCAACAAGGTGCGTGCGAATTCAAAAGATACCGTTATAAAGCTAATATCAATTGATATATAGCTGCTTTCTCCACCTTAACCGACCTCGTCTTCTTCGCGCTCCCTATAATCATCCTCTGGAATGCAAACATGGGCCCGAAATCAAAACTATCCTGTGGCTTTATCCTCTGTCTCGCAGCGCTAGGCTGTATATGCTCCATAATTCGTTTCCGCTACGTCGATGGCCTCACACAAGTCGACGACTTCTTCTGGAACGCAGTCAACGTGGCAATCTGGTCTACAATAGAGGCGGGTGCTAGCATTGTGGCTGGTTGCCTCGCTACTCTGCGGCCCTTATTGAAGCGCATTCTTAGTCAAGTAGGCGGGTCCACGGGACTGTCCGGCTGTGTAAAGCAGATATCGAAAAGCCTGAGGTCGAGTGAGCGATCGAGCGGTGGGGTTTCACATGAAAGTTCCATACCACATTATGATACTACGACATCGACTGATAAGTCAACATTTGAGAGTACGAGGCGCGGAACGGCGAGTACGGGGGCTGAAGAGTCGGAATTTGTCGAGTTCCTGGCCCCACCTGGAAAAGAGGTTATTGCGTTGAGTTCAGAGATGGGGACGCATCGGCGAAGTACCGACCGTATACTTGCACGAGGCGATGAAAGGGTGCCCGAGTTTCCGTGGCCAAGGGAGCCAAACCGTAATCAAGATCAAGAGGATCCGAGACGGCAGACTGTATATGCGAATGGGACACGAAGGAGGGGCGTTAGTCGAGGCGATAGGACGTCAGAGAGACCAGTCTCTGCGCCAATGCTCTCCGTGGCGTACGAAAGTTATGGAGATAGGGTTACATGAGCATCGCTACAAGTAATTCAAAAGAATATAAAAGCTCCTAACTTCCATTTGCGATTCTGTGCCTTGCTTTTGGATTGGAATTCCCTCAACCCATCTTAGCGGTACGGCAACGGCACTACCATGTCGATTTTTGCCCTCTCCCCCAATGCTGAATGACTCACCGTATAAAAATGACCCCGTCGATGCCTGTAAGTCAACACAAAATCACTCGGCAAATCCACCTGACCACCACCTTCTCATTCTTCCACATCCTCCGGCCCAGGAACAAGATACCACTCGTCATCCGTGCATGTCTTTCATGCACTGCACAATGCAATTGGGATTGTCCAGAGCATCCTGGTCAACATACCGCGCATCGATCCAGATCTTCAGAGATAGGTTCTACGGTTGTATGTGCCATAGCGCATCCAGAGATTGTCTATTACAGTGAATTGTTACTTTCGATGCATACCCGGCAACATAGATAATTTAGCCACTGTCTGAAGCGCTATAAGTATAACTCAAAGTCGTGCACTGTGATGTATCATCAAATCAGAACCGTTGGAAGTAGTCAGGATGCTGATAACACTCACAGCTGGCGCACAGGCGAGGCTGTATGAGAGGAGAATTCTCGAGTTGGTAAATCGACGCGGCTGAACATTGGGACTGCTTGCTGCGCGATGAAAGCCCTATCTCAAAACCAATCGATTAAACCCTAGTAGTTATCAACGCCTCGAGGAGAAAGAACCATATGGCCAAGAAGCAGCTTGCTGTGTGCGGTCTTGGTATCCTTGTCGTGAGGCTGTTACTGTGCCACTCCCCCATAGCAAGGAGGCGAATAACCCTACCCGTCATAACGATATGCCCCATCACCGTATTGAAATGATTTGTACATTGTGGAATACCTGACTGCAAGCTGATCGATTGGTGAGGCTAGGAAGCTGTGCATGATTTTCTTGCTCGTCCCAAGCGAACTATCAGCCCCTTATTTCATTAGCCCCGCTACTTACCCCACTCTCATTTTTCACGTCCGTCTTTGGCCGAGCCGCTTTCGTTGTCAAAGTCCTCTGAAGGTAAGGTATCAGTATGTCCCAAGCTGCCTCTTAAGACAACTTTGGCTATATTGTATACAATTTCTAAAACTTCCATCAAAGCTTCAAGTTGGAGCCTTGGCGCAATGGTAGCGCGTTGGTTTTCGGTCTTGTACCTGTTCACCAAAGGTTGTGGGTTCGATCCCCATGGGCTTCGCTCCCTTGCCTTTGACAAGCCGTCTTTTTTTGTTGTTTTTGCGTTGCATTTCGATGAACTGGCCCCTACCCGGGACTTGGACGGTCACGTGGCGGATGTGATGTCGGCAATCGGAGCGCCGGATCTCCGACTCCACGTTGCAGATCCGATCGCCAATCTAGCTAGCTCGATATGTAGCACCATCAAATAACATTGTTACTTCCACCAGATATGTGCCCTTTACACTAGATACCTTGGATAGATTGATCAACGTGACAATATTAGATATGCTTTCAAAGAATGCGTCTCAGTCAGTCGTCTAGGTACTCGAGACAACATTTCACACGCACGAGTGCCCCGGACACACTTTTTAAAAGGCATTTCTTCAGTGGTAACGCCTCGGCGTCGAGAACAACAACGTACTTTGTAGAAGCAATGAGAACACAGGGAGCGGACGTATCTATTTGGATATTATAAAAGTCAACTCATGCACAGGATCTTCGCTGCCTGACATTATGTCTTTATCCCAATGCTCAGTCTCCTGGAACTCTCCGATCACATATAGGGTCATCCACGAAGCCAGAAGTCGTCAACGAAAGTTTTACCAGTCAAAATAACTTCATTGGCGACCTCCCAGACTTCATGCTGGCATACTAGGGTCAATTCAAGGAGAATAACGAGAGTCAAATCACAGTTGACCTTTCCTACCATGATTGTGCAATACCTCGTACACTCTGCAAATTGTATCTCAAGATAATCTCAACAGATAGATGTCACCAGCACAGAGAGAAAGGTGGGGCATTCCGGACATCGGAATGGTTCCGAGCATGCTAGCACGGACCGACGGTAACTCCGGCGCTTAGGCGCCTCTTGATGGCGTAAGGTAAAGTAGCGACAACGCATTACAAGCAACTGCTGGCACTCAAGCTAGCTACTCACAATCATGTCCGGAGGCTGGAATACAATAGAGTCGGATGCGGTAGGTTTCGTGCACACACTTCCCGCCAGAAGTACTGACTAGGCAGGGCGTTTTCACGTATCTCATCGAGAAGCTCGGTGTTAAGGACGTACAGTTCGAAGAGCTCACAGCACTCGATAGCGATGAGATACAGAGTTTGGGCACCACCTATGGCGTAATCTTTCTCTTCAAATACCCAACTGGCGAGGCACCATCGGACAAACCCAAAGACGGCACCTACGATCATGACGCGGCGAACAACCTCTTCTTCGCGGCGCAGACGATACAGAATGCTTGCGGGACTCAGGCGATAATCTCACTCCTACTGAACAGGGAAGGCGACGTCAATATTGGCAAAGACTTGAAGGAGTTCAAGGAGTTTGCGGGCGAGTTCCCGCCAGAGGTGCGTTGAGCAAGGCAGGCAAGCGCTTACAAACAGAGTGATTAACATGTTGGATAAGCTGCGTGGAGAGACACTGTCGAACTCGGATCTCATTCGGGAAACACACAACTCGTTCGCGAGATCATCACCCTTTATCGACGAAACGCAGCGGACAGCCACCGAGGACGACGATGTATATCACTTCATCGCGTAAGCCCTCCCACCCTCTACCCCATAACATCTCCCAAATAGTCCTGCGCTCACACAATAACAAACAGCTACACGTCAATAAACTCCACCCTCTACGAACTCGACGGTCTCCAACCCGCGCCCATCTCCCACGGACCCTGCACACCCTCCGATTTCCACACAAAAATCATACCCGTCCTGCAGCGCCGCATCGCGCGCTACCCCGAGTCCGAAATCCGCTTCAACCTCATGGCATGCGTCAAAGACCTGCGCATCCGGGCGCGAGAAATTGGTGATGAGGATGGGTTGGAGCAGCAGGAGGATAAGAGGATGCAGTGGTTGTGGGAGAATTCGCTCAGGAGGCATAATTTTGTGGGGTTTGTCGGCGAGTTGTTGAAGGGGGTTGTCAAGGCCAAATTAGAGGCTGGGGGTGGGGCGTATGATAAGTGGGTTGAGGAGGCGAAGGGGCGGACGAAGAAGAGGAGGGAGGAGGCGAGGAAGCAGGGGATTGTTGAGGAGTGAGAGGGTCAGTGGGTGAGTGGATGTGGATGGGCTAGCTGGAGGTGATGGACCATGTGTCGGGCGAATTTCCTGCATTTAGAGTGCACGATCCGTGAGATGACGGGATACGATTTACGTATGCTGACGACGGCATTGCTTTGGTGGGAAAGATTTGGCAATCATTGATCACCGGCCGCTGAGATTGTGCTCTGGCTACATCAGATTCGTTACCTCTCGGAAGCCCAGGTGCATCAGTCAGCATCCTCCTTCAATCTCAAACAGTGATCAACATGCGTCAGATTCAAGACAGTCCAAGCACAATAGTCCTTTCAAATTGTGATGTGATATGACCACATTCACTTTGTTCAATTATTTACTATCTACATCTCCACAGTCTCATAGGTTGGATTCCATCCTATATATACTTGCTCAACAATCATTCACCCTGAGCCATCATCCCAAGAATTCAATATTCAAACCAAACCAAGCCACGCATACAAAACCCAATACTTCCAGGAACTCCACGCTCGCTAATTCGCAACAATGACTTGGAAACAAAAAGAGTGTCGTAATATCTCGTGTACGGTGTGCCACTGAGGCAAGGTGACAAAAGGGAATCGAAAAGAGAGTTCTATTGCTCGTGCTTGGCGCAGAACGGGGTTGAACTCTGGAAGATGGGTTCTGGAAGGCAGTTATCTGGGTCGTGGGACTTGGACGCGGGTGGAGGTGAAGGTATGCTCAGAATGTGCGGTTCGTCAACAAGAGGATTTTGGGTTGCTGGTGAGACAATAGCATCCTTCTCTAGGTCGTGTGTCTCTGCCAATTCGGCTGCGTGGACGGTTGATTCATCGACAGTCCTTGCGTCTTTGGGATCCTGTTGGTTCGCTTCAATTTGCTCGGCAACAGCATCATCCACAGATGCTTCCTCCACGTCTTCTACGCCAGCTTCAGCCTCCGAAGTTAATGCTGAAGATTGCACTTCGATGGAGCCCAACGTCTCCATACCAGAGTCCAGAATGATTGACGCTTCATGAGTGGCTGCACTAGTTTGGCGACCAACCTCTGCAGTGTAGACTTCTGTCACAGTGAGTGTGGAGAAAGAGGTCGCAGTAATGGTATCAACGACAGCAATTGGCGCAACAGTGTTCAGGAGAGCACCTTCCTTGAGCACATCGACTTGTGTTGAAGGCAGAAGTTGCTGTTTCCATGTAGTGTCCATGTTCATTGACAGAAATATCACCAGGCCGCTGAGCACCAGGATGATGAAGTTTCTCTGGTCTCCCAGCAGGACGAGGAAGTAATTCTTCAAAAGCGTGCTGAGCGGTATATCAGTTGCGCGAGATTGGCGAGACATCGATTGTCGTTCGGTCGACGATGGCGTTGGTTGCAACATCTGCTCAGTTTGGGCCTTGCTCTGTTTCTTCAAGGCGTCCTCCAAGGTGCGAAGTCGTTCAGCTATCGCATTCGATTCTGTCAAAGTTTGGGTTCCAAGCTCTACGCGAATAGCTTCCTTCGCCTCTACAATCTTCTCCTGCAATGCTTCTTCGAACCTTCGCCTTTCCGCTGCCTTCTCCTCTACACTTCGCTCCAATGCAGCAGCAACGGCTTCATAGCTCTTCTTCAGCTCGATTTCTTCTAGCCTCTTCTTTTGAGATGCTTCTTCCTCCAGTATTTTTTGCTTGGAGGTCGCTTCTTGGATTTGGTGCTGCAGTTCGATCGCGTACAGTTGCTTCCGCTTCTCTGCTTCTTGTTCTTCCTGTACGCGTCTTTCGAGCGTCTTCCGGAGTTCTTCGGGTATCCATGGCGAGATCTCGACATCGCATCGCTCCATGTCATTCCAGCATGCAGACCATGCTGCAGCCCGCATCAGCCCGTTCGCAGCGTAGATCTTGATGTCCCACTTTCTTGTGCCAGCGCCTACACCTTTCCCGGGCTTCTTTAGTTCGCGATGGCAGTCTGTGCACATGCAGGAATCATCAAGTGCGGTCTCTCCCCACTTATTGTCCTCTGTGAGTGTACCCCCGCTCATGCGACTTCCTCGTCCAGTCGCGTCATCAGTAGGACTCGCTATATCATCTTCATCTTCTCTATCTGTATCATCTTCTGGTGGCACAAAATGTCCACACTTGAGTAGTCGAGGCGTCTTCAGCTCTAAGTTTTCAAGGATTCGCTCCTCCAGCAGGTCGTACTCGTCTCTTGGATGTGGAATCAACAGTCCTCGCCGCATCAAAATGATATCCTGAAGCTTCTCTTCCAACAATTTATAGTTCTCTACCAGCCACTCCGGCATGATTCTAGCCATCAAATCGTGCGAGAAGGGTACCTGCATTGGCAATATGGTAACATGTAACAGGACCAATGGAGCTTGCTGCGGTGTAGCCGTTGGCATCGGGCTATGATGCTCCCTGATGCTATTCCTGCGCGACTCTGACCGTCTCGAAACTGGTGTCTCAGATCTCCCGCTCCTGCTCGGTGTAGCCAGTTTGTATGATCCCTTCATTCGCTCACGGGAAGCCTCGTAGGCTGGCAACGGCGGCGGGGAGGACATCTGCATTGCGCGCACAGACTCTGGATTCCGAAATCGTGGTCGCTCTTTCCGTGGCGTGTATCTTTCGTTGGATGCATGACTAGCTGGCGCAACGGGCTTCGAGGATATTGAGGACTCAGAAGGTATAGCGGATATGAAGCTGTAATGGGTCACACCAGATGATCGTCGGGGTTGCATGCTCGATTTGCGCGATGTATACGAGCTCCTGTATGGTGCCAGTTCTGGTTCATCTGAAAGTTCTTGTCCAAGCTCAATGCTTGGTATAACTTCGTCAGCCGTAGGAAGCGATAGCTCGGAATTGTATGACATATCGCCCTGGAATGCTTCCGAAGGCGACGCAAGTTGTTGATCTTCCGGATCTTCGTAGATAGCGAAAGGTGTAGCACCTGGAGCAGGTGAGTGATGGATTGAAGCCATGTTGAACGTATGTCGCCTGTGCGACG